GAAGGGGAGGGGAGGGGAGGGAAGAGAGAGCAAGAGAGCGCGGACGAAGGCATGCAGCTAAATGGCTTTGGGCCATGCCAGACGTGTAGCTTTAGGAGATTCTTTTGCGCACACATCGTCGGCTTCCTCAGCCTGATAGCGGTCGCTTCTGCTGTTGCTGGTAGGCGCTGACCCAGGGACTTTGGATAATTCAGTGGGACCTTATAAATCACCCTGGAAGGCTTTGTTGGGTTCCGCAGGATGTCCGGAATCAATAATGAGGGCGAGGATTGCGCTGTTTATGTTCCTGCTTTCACGTTTGCTCAGCCATGCCGGGAGGTGCTCCCGCAATCTTTTAGAAAAACGGCGACTCGTGTAACCAATATAACCTGCTCCACAGGAGCAAGTAAATGAGTAGATGCATTTCTAATGTTTTTTTCAACTTAATTTTATCCAGATTTTTGTGGCTAGTCAAGTATCCCATGCGAGGTCTTTCAGAAGGCTTTTCTTGTGCAAACAACATAAAATATTTACTTCCTTAAGCATGTACCTGGTAATCTTATTTTCGGCAACAGTAGTTTAAGTAGTGCACTTCATATACCCCTAGTCCCAGCATTCTTTCCCACGGAAACGTTGTTTATAGGGTTTTGTGGGTGGGGAATCAGCATAGGCAGTGGAATATACTAAAATGACTGCTATGGGCATTTTATTTTACTGTATTTATAATAGTTGTTGATTTATGTCTGTAAGTTTTTCTTATTTGTATTAAACTACTTTTGCCTTATTTTCAATACGCATTTCTTTCACAATATGCTATCTTTGTGCCACTTTACTGACTTTCTATTTCTTCACCAGGTACGACAAACTCTGAGCCATTCACTAACACCCTGGATGTCCATTCCGATGGGGAGAAAAAGCCGTTGTACTATGATGTAAGCGCGAACCATTTTCTTAGAGTTTTTATCAATCTTTGAACCGCCTTTTGAACTCACTAGTCAACAAGACACTTTATACGCTCCTGATAACTGCACCACGCAAATCACTTCTTTGTCGTCTATCAATAGTCTGTGGAGATTTTTAACCGCTCACGTTCTTGTAGGTCTTTGATCGAGAATTTTGGAGTAAGGTCCTCACCCGAGACGTTGGTTTCGGTAAAGGCTGTGCTTTTACCCATAAGCTATTTTCCCTACAGAAAATAAGAAGGTAGTTCATGACTGTATATGCGAGCTTGTGAGAGCAGTAACGGTTAGGCCCTACCAGAGTCCGCATAGCAACATTACCCAGAGATTTGTAAGGTTGCTTTTACTTGGTTATTTCAGATTAACACTGCGAAATAATTTGACCAGAGGCTTTAGGTTCCGAAAATATGATTTCCGGGGAAAATAAGAGGAAAGACATGAGCTAAACCAACCACTTATTGTATGCGTTTGTGTGGCGTTACTGCATTCCTATCTCCTATAAGTGTCTCGCAATTAGGTTTTATTATATCTTTATCTCATGATCTGAGCATTGAGTTATGACAGCCGCATCTGTCAGCGCCAAAGTCATTGGCACAGAAGGCTTATATCAGATCGGCAAGCAATTATTTTTCATTGCAAGAATTGATGGGGCGAATATGACGGTAGATTGCATTTCAGTTAGTGTCTATTGTCAGGGGTTTCAGTAAAAGGTTTTGTAGATTTTACTAATTTAGCAGTGAGAGACCCAACATAAATTAGTTTTATGCCTTACAGCACGCCTAAAATTTGGCCGCTTTCTATTTTACTTGGTAGAAGCACGCCTGAAGAGGGAATAATCGAATGTGAAATGATCCGGCAAAGAAGGAACTGGGAGGAATTGCTCCCAGAAGGAAACTCGCAAGACGATCATCTTGCCGCACAAAGCTAATAAAAAAACTTCCTCATAAATTTGTCTCAGAAAACGACAAGTTCACCACTAAAAAAATCCACTTAAACGCCTTCAGGTGGACGGTGATCTCACATAAGTCTCTCTTCGCAGACTTTAATTTATATGAAGCGCCAAGAATGAAGTTATGACCCCCCAAAATAAGACAAGAGAATAGGAATCACTCGCAATACGGGTAGTTTTGCGCCAAATCCTGTGGAAATTACACTTGCGATTACGTTTAAGGTTAGAGCCTGGACTGAGGTCGGAAAAATCTTCAAGGTTACCGTTTGGATTATAAATTTGCGAAAATTCCCATTGAAAATTTCAGAAGATAAAGTGGCTAACAAACGTTTGTTTTCGATCAATTATCGTCAGGCCTTTACATTTATATGGTAATGAAATGAATAACCTATGCTGTTTGGTGGACAGATGTAGTGTTATTGTTGTCTTGGTCGGTGGGGGGGAAGGGGGGTGGGGAAGTTGCGGTTTGAATGTCAATGTCTAGATGGGCCGGCGTCCAAGACAGGTGATAAGGTGTGCTCGGTTGGATTTGGGACTTGTTCGTCTCTGTGGAGGCCCGTTTCCGAGGCCAGCTAGTTTCGCCCATGGTAACTGCGGCGCCGCGACGACACTGCATCTGTCCACAAACCAGCATAGTTTATGTATTTCATTATAATATAAATATAAAGGTTTGGATTATTGTTAACCGTAGGATTCGGCTTAAGATTAAGGCTACGACTGTTAGGGTTAGGAGAGAGGAATACTGACCCTTCCTGCAGAACCACCTTTATTATCTGACTCGGTGCTCCTATTCTTCTACGCGTAGAACCTCCTTTATTACTTGGGCGGGGCATTTCTATTCCTATATCCTGCTTAAGGGGTCATATAACTCCTCCTTACCCTGAAAGCATTAATCTACACATAAAAATACGGTAGATTAAGAGTGATTGGAGCACCGGCCATTTGTTCGTGGCAGACTGTGAAAGCAAACAGATCCTAGGCCTACCCCCGATTACAGCACTTACACAAGTCAATATTTCGCATCCGGGAATAGCACGATGATGATGATGATGATGATGATGATGATGATGATGATGTTGATGATGGTGATGATGATGATGATGATGATGATGATGATGATGATGATGATGATGATGATGATGATGAAAGATGATGATGATGATGATGATGATGATGATGATGATGATGATGATGATGAATGATGATGATGATGATGATGATGATGATGATGATGATGATGATGATGAATAAATGATGATGATGATGATGATGATGATGATGATGATGATGATGATGATGATGATGATGATGATGATGATGATGATGATGATGATGATGATGATGATGATGATGATAACCTAGATGGTCCGCTGGTTTGCATTGGCAGCGCGCGTCTCCCGGTCGTCAGTATGACCTTGCAAGCCAGGAAGGCGACTTGTAATGCAGACATTGAGAGTGACGTGTTAAGAAAAGTGCCTTTTAGGGGGCGTTAAGAGCCACAGCTCAACTCCTGATAATCTGGTCTTCCATGATTAACTCTAGCCGCCCAGTCACGTCACGCTGCTTGCACGCAAACCTGCTGTTGAGGGGCGTATTTAAAAATAGCCGGCAAAACAGACCTACTGGAACCGATAAAAATAGCACTTACCCAGTATGTATTGGCTAATAATAGCCTTTTATGTTAAGATTATAGCCACGCTGACGAGAGCGGAATCATTAAGCAAATATTCCAAAGTCACCTAGCTCTCAACTGGCCAGTAATACGTCAAGATTAATCCTCCTTTCCGAAAATAAATGACCCACCAGACGCCAGAAAATTTACTCCGAATATATCATTACTTTATATGAGCTAGCCGGATGTGCAGTATGTGTTCGAACGCAACAAAGGATAAAGAAACAAAACGACTTCTCAGTTTTTTTTAATTTAACATTCAAAGTATTTTTTCAGTTAATATGCATAAGATAACTACAATGGGGTTGTCTTTTGCGGAAAGTATTATGACTGGTATGTTTTTACCAAGGCTCCTTCAAGGACAGCTGATTTTCGGTATTAAGTAAATGAGTTCTCATCTTTATGCGGCATCGACCTGGCAGGGAAGGCAATTAAATGGACATTTTAGTTAAGGGCAGCATCAACTTAATCGAGTCAAAAAGTTTATACCTGCTGTGACTAGAATCTGCTTTAGTTTGGACGTCTGAGGCTGATTTCAAATTTGCTTACACAGAAAAAACATCAGAATGTTTGGGGACCATACATTTCGGTGTGCAGTAATACCTCAACAATTTTTGAGCTTAGATCGCGGAACCTGTAACGAATTACGAGGAATCACGAGCGTTTTGTACGAGTCACTGAAAATGCTTCTTTCTAGATTTTATATCCTAAATGTGACCCAAGCCATGCTCCCGAAGCAATCTTATTTCATTTAGAAGTTAGCTAACTCATTAAACTTCAAAAGTAAAGTAAACAGTTGATGTAAAAATCGGGTACACTATTGTCTACTGGGTACTTGTACTGCTGGATCCTCTACAGTACGGCGTGCTAATTTTACTCCTACATTAATTCAATGGTTTCCGTTTTATTTTTCACTCACAGTGAGTGAGGTCAAATAAAGAATGGAACTGTAGACTTCCTGACTGACATTTAATTGCTCGCTTTCAGGAAAATAAACTTAGTAAACCTCGCAGACAACAGAAGTCATAAAACGAAAGTACAATTCACTAACAGCAAGCAAACATTTACTTACTGTGTGTGAACGGTACGGGTATTAAATTAATTTCAAATTATGTAGGGACCTGCAGAGAAATAATACGTTGCATAAAATTTGTGAGCGCTAACCGCAAGGGAGGAAAAAAGACCAAAATTACTTGTGCATAGCAAAAATCTCTAATAGAAAAGCAGTAGTATGCTTTAAAAGCGTAGGCCCCATAAATTACATCCAAAAATTTATATAAAAAAATAATTTTGCAGGTTTTTCCGGGGAGATTGCGTATCTCGCAGATTGGCTTTAAAAAATCACGGATACAAATTAATTAGATTTAAAGGTTTCTGTGCATTCAGGAACGCGAATGCCCGAGGTATGACTGTACTAAACCTCGCTGTGAAAAAAAGCTGCTCAGGCTTAAAACACGGGAAAAATATCGTGAAGATAGCTTTAATTGCTCATGACACCGACCCCATGAATTAGATGGTGTGGTTGCCTCAAAACTCGACTCATGTCCGAAATCTCAGACTGATTTATTTCAAGTTAGGGACTAATTGCTGGTGGAATCGAAAAGCAGCAGAGGACCGTTCGTCGACTATCGTCTGTTCGCTCTTGCTTAACCGACCTTCTGTCACCTCCTATCGTACTAACTCAATTTGCCCAAGTCTCCGATGCAAATTGAAAAGAAGGCTTCGGACTGAGGCTGGGGACATGACTTTCAGCCTAATACACAGGGTCCTCCTTACGCGTTCCTTAACCGGTCCTACATTCGCGACCGTCTCCTACAGGATAAACTATCATCCCCTGTGCCCACCCGAATTGCACGCCCCAGTGACGAAGTAACACTTCTCATCCGCATCCTCGTAGTCCTTTTAGCGCAGAGGATAACTAATCCCTCTT